ATGAAGTTTAGATATATTCACATCAAAGCAGATCGGTATCTGTGATGAAGCTATCAGAGATGTAGGTTAGAGGTGGAAATTCCCAGTACATGATTTGCACAGTTTGCTGTAGTAGCGCACGCATTTCACCATAGTTGTAATTGAAGATTTCGAGACTGTCTGCAACAGTTGCAGCCTAGGCTTAAAACTGACGGTAATTCTGAACACATAATTTCAGTTCTGCCGAAGATGTGAAATGTAAAGAGTTTGTTGCAAATATGTAAAGTTAATAGCTACAAAGACAATGTGGAACCTCTAATTGCTATGTGATGACTTCTAATTTGGGGGTCCTAATAATAGGTGTGATCATGACACACTTGCAATGAAATGATTTGAAGATGAAAGTAGTTTTTATTTTCAAGCCTGAACTTATCGTCTTTTGACTTGCAGACCACAACTCATTTTCGATTCTAGCCAAAAGACTCAAATAGTTTTTTGGTGGAAAGAATTTCCGTCTCCTAATCTATTTCCGTTGAAGGGAGTCACAAACGCATTTAAAGAAAATCAGATCTCGGACTTAGGTCTTAAATAAATACTGTATTACAGTAATAAATACGTCGCCATGAGGGGATTTTCTGAACCATTCAAAAGTTAGCTACACATTCAAAATGTTCCTAAATCTATCTTATATTTTCCATCACCCTTTACCTTAACCTACGTTTTCAATTTTCATGACCACTCATCAAAACCACACCCATTGTACAATATTTGTAGAAGACAACGAAATTCTGCAATACCACCAACATAGTGCATCCCGTCGTCAGAAATCCTTATCTTTTCAATTTGCGGTTGCTGCAATACCATAAATTGCAAACTAGCCTGACCATCGAGATATCTAAGATCTCAATGTGATGACACATGTTGAAGGAAATTGTAGTTGTCAAAGTAGCTGCTATTGTCACCATTACATCCGTAGTCAAACGACTCTACCACCTCTGGGCATACATTTTATCAAAGAGAAAGTAAATTCAGAAATGACCAGGATGCGGAACCAACGATGTCAGCAATTGCGCTAATTCAGACCCTGGAAGCTCCAAAGACCTGTGGTTTATTCTTGTAGATCACTCATAAAATTGAACTACCCATTGTATAAGCGGTTAGATTCCGTGGTTTAGCAAGACTTAAATTGATGATTGAATCGGTGCTGTTTAAGTGAATAGGCTGAAATGTCTTTTGGAAAATGGGAAACTATACAAAGTGATTTGATAGCCTCTATCGTGAGCTGTGAAATGTAACATTTATCGTTACATAACCGTTTCAAGTCATTGTCATTATCATTATTGGAACTATGTGCGTATTTTAACCCAAATTTGAGTGAAGAATAAGTGTAGAATGAAAAGATATGCCTTGTGTAGCTTTGTTACTGACTAAAATCAGTTGTTTCATTAGTCAGTATCATTTATTGAAATCCCAATGATCAAGGACAGCTGGGTCCAATTTTAAACCATCAAAAAGCTGTCAACTTTTCTCGGGATTGATCCGGCGACCTTTTTGATCACTAGGCGAGCAATACAACCACTGAGCTACCCAGTCACTACATACACATTTCAACTAGATACCTGCGAGAGTAGGCCTTGGTTCGTGAGGTTTGATGGTCATGATAGAACCACAACCAAGCATAGAACGTAATGTGCGTGTCTCTCGTAACTCTTCCAGTGTGGCCAACTTGAGATAAGGAATTTCACCCTGTAATGTTGCATAACATGTGTGTGGCTGTAGGCTTTATCCAACTATAGGGACTATGTGATTGTTTAGAGCAAAATTCACATAGCTTTTAATCGAAAAGCACGCTGTTTTGTGTTGTTTGGTTGGAATACTGGAGTCATTGGAGTACGACAAAAAAGAGTGCTAACTAGTGGACAAAGGCCGTTTGCACTCGCGTTACACATTTTATTTTCCCTTCAGTTACTATAAAGCATAAAATAATTAGTCTTTTAAACATTGTGCAACACTTTTTTAGGTTAGGATAAATCCAAACATTGAACGAAATGGGAAACGCTGCACCAGCTGATCGTAGTCATAATATAAGTGTTGCCAACTTATTTTCAAGTGTAATCGTATTGCTAATAAAAGCATACTGTTTCTTGTCGTTTGGTTGGAATACTGGAGTGCGGCAAAAAAAGTGAGTGTGGAAAAAGTAAAAATGAGTGCAGTAAAAGTAAAAATGAGTGTTGCAAAAGCAAGTAAATGCAGCAATTTGCTACTTTGCGTGATATAATCAGTACAAGAAAGCCCACTTTGTCACGTAACTGTAGAAAAAATATGTTGCTTAGAAAGATGTTGCTATTAGAACTTCACAGATTAATAAGCCACATGGCAACCAACAATAATAAATTCAAGCGTACATCTAATATATTACTAGTTCTTCATGGTCAAGGTCGATGACGTAGAGTGTTAAATTTGTCATAATCAGCTTGACACCTGGCTGTCAACACGAGATGACATATTGAACTACGCGCCATTTTTGGTCTCGTTTTACCCGCCAATTTGTGGTCTTTTTTAATCATGTAGCCGGCGATAAGGAAACACAGTCGTGAGCCGTTTTGACACTTTCCTAAGCTCTCTCCGGAACTAATTGTGTTAAGGAGCGATAATTTATAAACTACCTCGTCAGTTAGAGAAATTATTAACTATTCTAAAGTATAATTGGGTAAGATTTTGTGTGTGTGTTTTTCACAATCATTTTTCGTCCCTTAATTTATTTTGGTATTTTATTAAATTTCAAAAATGCAACACGTTAAAACCTGTTATTTATTCTCATTGTTAGGCTGTTTGATGATTTTAAATGCAAAATGGCACCTCGTTGACAAAACCAATCCGATTTTATATGGGGAGGAAAAATTAATATCGGGTACGATCGAATAATTTATACGTAAAAACATGAATATTGATCGTTTGTTTAGAGCATACACTAACTCTTATGGATATGAATACAACCTTCTATTAATAAATCACGTTATTCAGAGAAAATTACTAGTTAATAATAATCCATTGAAGTTTATTAAACTAAAATGCAGCACCAAGTTAACAACACTGTAGTCATCAAAATAAAAATACAATCCAAGCTATCGTTATTCTACGTGTGGTCGTGTGATATTCAAATGTTATATTATGAATATGAAGTACGCAACAATATGAAATATAAAAGTCAATAAAGAATATCGAGACCAAAAGGAAACCGAAACGAAACAGCATTAAAAGTTAAAAAAGTTATGTATCTTCCAAGATCCACATTTACAAATTGTTGGTATTTTAAGCAAAAAAAGATTGTTATATGTTTTGGAATGTATTTTTTTTTTGTGAATTTTTTATTTAGTTTGTAATGTCTAAACATGTATTTTTGTCATGCAACCTCTTCTCTTCTTCTAATGTTAACATCATGGGCGAATCTTTAAAAACTGTTGTTTATTTATTCATTCATTGGCTATAAATAGTTTAATCTTTTCCTAAAATACCATTGAGAACACTCCCGTTGTTTTACAAATCCTCAACAATGATCGTGTTGTTCTGAGCAAAATCGTCATGCCAAATCACGATAAACATAATGATTTGTTATTGTAAAAGGGATTAAGATTTACCTTCATATTACAGCAAGATGAAAGGTATACACAGGATGTTTATCAGGTTAATAAAAGTACGCGAACAACTCGCGATAGTAAATCCATAGGCGGAAACATGCGGAAGTATTGGATCACCTACAAAACCAAAACCAGATCCTTCACACTCACTGACACACTTGTCCTGTCTGTGTGTGTGTGTGTGAGGTAATAGCTATCAGTAGATCATAGATTATGAAGATAGAGATGTTGTCACGATAATATTTAGTTTAGAATTAGATGGTGAAAAGTATCCTCTGACTTTGGAGAAAGGGCTTTTCCTGCACAGGAACTTCTTTTCACATGAGTTCTATATTTTCCAAACAGTAAACTAATTATCAATTAATTGAGATGGGGACGCCCCCTAAGTTAGTATTTTAACCCAAATATGAGTGTAGGATGAGTGTAGAGTGTTGTGAGATGATTTGTGTAGCTTTGTTACTGACTATAAGATCAGCTTGTTCATTAGTCAAAGCCCAATGATCAGGAACAGCTGGGCCCGGTTTCGAACCATCAAAAAGCTACTGCCTTTTCTCAGGATCGAACCGGCAACCTTTTGATTATACAGTAGGTGGATTTGCAGGTAGGTTCAGAACCATTTGTTCACAAAGGTGAAGCCATTGGCGTTTAGTAGGATTCGAACTCGAATCTTCAGGTTAGAAGTTCCGTGACATAACCACTGAATTGTGCAACTTCTTCTTTAATATTGATAGCTAAAAATGTGTGGAAATGTCATTTTCATGTTTGGTAAAGGATAAATTTACGTTTAAATGATGTAATAATGTGATAGGGAGTAAAATGTTAACGATATATATCGTATTTAGCTTCATACTTTATTCTACAATTATACTTTTAAGTATTTGTATTGAAATAAGTCGAGCTTATGTCCACAGCTTAATTGAAAATCATAACTCGTAACTGGAAAAAAGTAAAATTTTATGTATTAAATGATAGGGCCCACAGCTAAAAATTATTAAAACTCAATTAAAACTCTCTAGCCAAGGTAATTATATCGTTGCTTAGTCTCAAATCAATACAAAGCAAAAGGTTTGAATAAAGTAATCTTTAATAATAAACATTGTATGTGCAATTAAACTGTATATGTTTACTGAATTATTTAACAGGTTAAATACTAAACTACGCTAAAAGATAATATAAATATAATTTAAAATGGTGGTAAAAAATTAATTCAATAGTTTTTTTTATTGACATTAATTTTATGAAAAATTAATCATGCATTAGCAAAAAATCCACAATCAAGTAATAATCACCCTTTTATTTATACACCCCGTGTAAACCCCAACAACTTTCACTATTGTGAAAGGTTATTACCTTCACTCAACATTAATGAACAAAAAGTGTTACCTTAGAAAAAAGTAATCCAATGGTTGTGCACAACGGCGGTGCGACGGCGTTAGTACGTCGCGCGTATCCTTAGCGGTGGTGAGCGCACATGCACGACTGGAGCATGGAGCATGGAGCATGATAGATCCTGGAGGGGGGACAATGATACTACAGGTGGCGGAAACGAGGTTGCATAACAGAGAGTTGTCAGATCAGCGCGAAGGAAAGTTGACTCGGCGACCCGGGAGTGTATCCCTGGGGAACCCCTTTCAGTTTAACCTTGGGGGACCCAAATAAAATGAACCTAGAGGATGTGGGTCCTTGAGGAACGAAATGGTGCGTAAAGAGATCCTTGAAAGACCCCTAGTTGAATTTTGAGGGATCCCATTGAGATTAACCTTAAATGATTCCACATTTTTAAGCGTTTACAAGGCGTTAAAAGTGGTATAGATTTGAGAGACCCCTTCAGTTAAACCTTACCCATGGAAATAAACATCAAGAGACAATACACTCTCACGCTTTTACGAATCCTTAAAATAGTAATAGCGTCAGGAATCCCTCTAGTTGAACCTTGAAGGACCCTCGAAGAAATTAACATTGAGGGACTCCATAAAGACAAATCTTCATGGACTCAAGAGATGAACCTTGAAGGAACCCCTTACATATGAAATTTGAGAGACTCCATAGAGATCAACATTTAGAGATATTACACTTTACAGCTTTGATGAACCCTAAGTGGTAGAAACTTGAGGAACTTCCAGGACTGTATTCCTGAAAGACTTTTAGAACTTACCCTGAGAAACCACAGGGAGATGTAGTCTGCATGATGGATCCTGTCCCTTGACCCTTCGTCTACCTCGGACTGACATAAGCATTGAACCTTAAACCATTCGCCAGTCCTCAGGAATACGAAGAGTTGACAGGTTCCATCATACAGAGTATAATCACATATTTACATACTTGAACCGTTTGAAAAAATTAGTTCTTTTTAAATGAGAGACAATATTTTGTGCCATTTGGATATTTTAAATTTGCACACATATGGAGTCAGCTACTTTGAATGCCAAAATAATGCTTCCTTTGCCCCCAATTTCTCCCGAATGCCTTCAGAATGTTCTGCTCACTCTCTAGTAGCCGTAAAACTAAATTGAAAGTCCAGATTGGCTGTAAATGCTTGTAAAACTCATCCCTGCTCAGCTGACTCAAGATGGCATCGTTACCTAGAGTAGGTCAGAGCAAAGTCATTCCTCAGTTTTTCCTGCTTCTTCTGTCAGTCATCCCTCCTGGCCTCCTTCTAGACCTTGGCCTCTGGAGGTTAACTATCCGCACGTCACTGATGGGGTTTTACGTGGTAATTGCACTGGTCATTCGCCTCCAATACGCCACGCGTGGGAAATTAGAGGTTAAATGTGTTTTATCTTAATGATAAGAAACATGGCAATACCCGTAAACGATTGGTACAATAATCTACAATATTAAAACGTGATAGGGTTTTTTATTTCACGATTCTGAATCAACCACTTGACGGATTTTCATGATTTTTGTGTTGAAATAAAGATAATTTTGAGAACTATGGAATGACGAAGCCATAATTTTAGTTTAGGGTTGCAGTTTTTTGCAAATTAAGTTTTAAATTTACAAAAGTCTAGCAGCCGACGCTAACATTCTACTCTAGCTTTTGGTATAATAACAGCTGTCAACCTTCCGCGTTTTTCGACACAAATTCAGCTTTTGGATGAAAATGAAATGACATACGTAGAATTTACTTATTTATACTATGTGTAATGCTGTAACCATCGATATGTTTAATCGGTAAGAGGATGAGAGTTTATTTAAATACACATTGTAAAATAATGTAAAATAATAAAGATGTTCTAATTTATTTTTTTTAGCAGTCTTTAAAATATTTAGTTTGTTTTAGTGAAATATAATTTGTTATAACTAACAGCTGGTTGAATAAAATCTATAGATTTATTTGGTTAGTTTATTTACTCTGAGATTTTGTCATTGATTATAGGAAATAAGTAAGATTCTATGACCATTGCTGTATACGAATCAAAGCTCACGAATCTTCAAAAGAAAGCTTATGGAAATTATTTTACTAATCGACTTATGAGAAAAGGTTAGGGAAATAACAATGATCACATGTTTTAACCATCGATCTCTAGAGACAGCCAACAGATCACGGTTCTTTAAATCGATCGACGGGCCAACAGCTCGTATAAATTAAGATGAGGGTGTTATTGCGCATAATTCAATCCAAATGAGAAGGTTGAGTGTAGAATGGAGTGAGATTGTGTAGCAATTAATATCAGCTGTTTCTTTACGCAGAATCATCTGTTGAACCCCAACAATCAAGAACAGCTGGGCCCAGTTTTGACGCATTAGCTACTAACTTTCCTCAGGATGTAACCGGTCACCTTATTACTATACGAGTACAATAATTACTCAGCTATCGAGCTAATGATGTAACTTTTCAAGTCTTTAGTAAAACATTGTGATGTTTTCACTAGTTTTAAAGCTGCTCTATCAGGTATGATGAGAAAAAAAGTAATTGGTGGAACTTCCCCTAAAACACCTAATGTGAGCCGAGTATAGTGTCAATCTTCCCCTTGCATCTGGATGAATATTTTTTATAAAATCAAACATGGTCTGAAATAGTGTAGTTATTTGTTGGACCATATGCATTTGCATATTGTTGAAACATGGCCAAAGTGAACAGCCTTACAATTAATTTTTAACTAGAAATTTGAATAGTTACATCTGTATCAGCTAGGCAGCTGAACAACTACTGTGCTCGTCTAGTAATCAAGAGGTCGCCGGTTCAATCCTGAGGAAAGTCCAGTATCTTATGGTTCAAAACTGGGCCCAGCTGTCCTTGATCATTGGGCTTTTATAGATGATCCTGACCAAAACAGCTGATCTTACTCTTTAAAAAATACATAGCCATCTCACTCCATTCTACACTCGCATTTAATTAATATTTAGGTTGTAATGAGCACCATAGTATTCTTCGCTGTCTGAACAGATTGACAATTGATATGTAATAAAATTATCATTTTAGGCGAAATATTCGTCGTTATAGATAACTCATTTGTTACGACTTTACACTCAATATTGGAGTTAATATGTTAAACTAATCATCCAACTCACAAAGAAACAGCAATAATGGTATGGCTTAATTGAATTAAGGATATGCCAAATCGTAAATCAAATATTCTAATTAATAACACTCCTCTCTCATAAATCTTATACTAAGCTATAAATTCATCAATTCTAATAGACTAAGAAAAGAAGCTACAGTCCAAGGCCAATGTTGTAGGAGTATGAAGCTTGTGCATTTACTGTTGATAGAACAAGAGTTCATTGGTATAATACTTCATCTACGCATTTTTTTGGGCTAAGATTACGATTTATCATATAAAATTAATTTTTGTCATCAGCAAAAAGCTTAGAATGGCGCTAATTATAATGAATAACGGAAAGTATTCAATTGGTGATATAAATTTAACGTACTAATTTCTGATCTGAAAGATGAAACATGTTTTTACGTTTTATAAAGAAATTGGTTGCTTGATTGAAATGTTGTAATAAATTCAGTTCCTAAATGCTTTTCTCCTCCTATGCTGCTCTGCTATTCTGTAATAAAGGTAGAAGTTGAATTACAAAAAATGATCTCAATTTATGTCCATTTAAAATTCACCCTAACTGTTTGAAGCTCCTAGAATCATTCGTTTCTTCTACAAATATCAAGAGATTCTCCTCATCTCCGGGAAATTTAACGTCAACATTTCACCATAAGCCATCAATGACACGTTGACCCCAGAGCTGAGACCGCAGAGTTACAAGTGCATGCGTAGCCGAGCTTTCTCGCAGCAAACGTAGTTGTTTAACAAGTTATGTTGCAGTAATTGTAGCAGGAACATCTGGGCCTCCTCGTCCTCCGTTTATACGATCTCTGCGGTATGGACTGCTCGGACGGTTAAATGATCCGTTGCAGTAACCACTAACGATTGTTGCAAACAATGTTGCTACTGCCAATATCAGGAATGAACAGTTTGCCGAAGAACTTGAATGTATGCTTGAAGAACTTATGAGGGATCAGATAATTGGATCCTTGAACCGCCTGAGGAACCCCAGAGATTTTGGGCCCCAAGAAAGTTTAACCCTGAGGTACCCGAAACTGTTTGATCTTGAGGCCTTCCCGAAAAAAGGTGGACCATAAAGAACCTTATAGAATCAAATCCTGAGGAATCCGAAAGAGTTTACCCCATAGAAACCCCAGAGACAAAAAATGTGTGAGTACCTAAAAGAGTTGGATTCTGTTGAGTGCTGAGCAACCTCAGAGTCGAACTTTGACGTATTCTGAAGATTTAACCCAACCCTGAAGGACTCTTTTAACTAAAACGAAATCTTAACGAAAACTTTTAACTACAAATGACCCCAAAAATAGTTAAACCATAGAAATGCTGAAGTTTAATCATGAGAGGCTAAGAATTTTAAATCCATTTGTTAAATATTGTATATTTAGTATTTAAACTTTAATGATGACTAGCTGTTACCCACGGGCTTCACCCCGTTTGACTTCAAAGTAACAATAAAACTATTGATTGGTAAAGTTAAGCTGAAATAAACAAAACGGAATACAGTAATACAAACAAATAATCACGACTGATTTTGATCTATATATATAAAAGGCAAAGCCCTCACTGACTGACTGACTGACTCACTCACTCACTCACTCATCACTAATTCTCCCACTTCCCATTTACCTAGGAGGCTGAAATTTGGTACACTGATTCTTTAGGCATTAAATAGGATACCTAAGTTGTTTTTATTCTGATCGGACTCTCGGGCTCCGCCCCAGTGGCTCTGGAGTTTCCCATGTTAACCTTATGAGTACTCATATATTTAAATGGAATTAATGAATCTTAACAGCTGTTTCAATTAAACAAGTTGGTTCTGTTCTATGATATGCAATAGCATTAAAATTACAAGGATTACCAACAGGGTGCAGCACTATTTTTGTTAATTTATGACAACAGCTAATTTGCAACCAAAAGGTGAGTGAGCGTAGCGAACGAACTTCAACCAGGACGTG